ATTGTGACTTGTATACTAGACTCACTATATGCAACATATTGTTCAAACATTTGGTCATAGTAAAGACTAACTGTCATCTTATCATCTCCATGAAGTCCTATCTTTCGATTATCTGGATAAAGTTAGTAATTGCATGAGATTGGACAGTGAATGTGCCTCACACTCTTTGAGTGCATTATCGATTTGCTCTGTATTTTCGATAGTCATTGCCACCAAGTTAGACGCTGAGATTACGGAGGAAAACGTCAGATGCCAGCACTTCCACCGCTTAGAAATTAACGCACGCATGATTCTTTCAATTGAATAATCTTAGCGCTAGGTGTTGCTTGTAGTCTGAGGGATAGGGTGAAGTGTTGATTTATTTGATGAACAAGTCGTCAACGCATATCTTTTATAAGCCACTTCACGTAATGCTTTGCACATTGTCTTTCCAGGACGTTCCTTTAGTCTATTACATTGCTATGCAGTGTTGTGATATCAAGAGCATTGTGTCGAATCAATCTTAGTTTGCTACAGAAATGTTTTAATGAAAATACTAGACTAGGAAAACACAAGTGTCTTATTGCCCTGCAAGATGTGGCACATGTAATCGCGTCGCCGGGCATATAGTGCTACTATTTGAATCTCTCCAGTACATGAAATCCGCTTGAATAATTCCCGCCATTGAAGCGTTTCACATAATGGAATGAGTGACTGAGTAGATCCTAGGGCCGGGGACACATTGTTGAGCACTGCAGAAATAGTCCCATGACGCTGATGTCCATCAAGTTCCTTGGAAATGGCGCAAGCACTACAAACATTGCCCATGATAATGTAAACTTTGCAGGCATGATGGTTTCGTTAAAGGGTCAGTGCACTAATCAAATGAAAAAGGGACAGCATTTTTTGCGTGCGGCGCATTCGATAATTAATCAACAACTTGCTGGCTAGCTTTTGATATGTTTTTTTAGCCATTTAATTTATCTTATATGGACTAGTAATTGCATACCAATATCAAAATTACTTTGCTGTTGTTTGTACAATGCCTCAGGAAGCACGTTCTCCGATTAGGATTAGTGTGATAAATGTTGAGAGAAAGAACGAAACATTCGTACATGCCCACCTTGGAAGATCAGCAAGGAGAAGCATAACAAGATGTGTTCCGAACAACGGTCAACAGCGTAGGTACATTAGCATGAGGAACTACCGCTTGCAAGCGTTTACAGTTCATCATTGAAGCCCCAATTTCACACCTATGCACAAGTTTCCATCAGCATCCGAGACTAAGGGAAGGAGCTTTATATAACCACAGCACCTAGAAATATTGAACATAACAACCGGGCCTATGAGACGATGAAACTGGTTTACTGGTAATGGCAGAGGTGAAGCCTTCGCTGCCTTCTTTAGGGAACATCACAACAACGACAAACAACTTCGAAATCCATGACTTTTCCCCGAACTCTCTTTCTTCAAAGTCGAATCACAAGAAATGTGATAGTTTCTCTCCAAATTCTTGTGCTATTATGAATACCATGAAGCAACCAGCCCAGTCCAGTCTTTCCGACTTGCAAATTGTGTCTAAGCGCAAAATATTCGTGGTTTGGCATATGGGTGGCTTTAGCGCTTCAGCACACTCGACACGTGGTTGTTCTTTGTGGCCGTCGACGTTTCCAGTGGCCCACTCAAGGAAAGGAGATAAAAAGAAGTCGCAAGACTGCGATGACTCGCCTATCTCTATCTTCCGCTCCAACACTAAATCTTCCCGCAGCGACTTATTCGACTTGCATCACTAATGTCCGACAGCACAAGAAATACGCATGGGCCATCTATCAAGCCAGTAGAGAGGACGCATGGTTATCCCCCTCCTTCTTCCTCAGAGTCCGACGAAACGAAAGCGTCAGACTTCATTTTTGTCGCGCCGCGTATGGGCTTCCGGGATAGACGTCTAGCCCGCCAATCCAATCTACGAGAGTGCGAAGTCACCGAGTTTGGCGATGCCAGCCATACCCCAGCCTCAGATCCTATCTCGAGATTGCCTTCTAGTAGATCCACAACCTCTTCGAAGCTTCGTAGACGTTTGTGGCTTCGCTTCCGGAGATCGGAACCTGATAACAAGGAAGGGCAAACTAAAGTCCCGCCAATAGTTGTTCCTTCATGGCGCTGGAAAGCCACGCCGCAAACGGTTCTGGTACGAGATGAGACAGAGTTCAGCGTAACTTGTACGATCGTCCACCCTGTTTCACGACTTCGAATACGCCGCCCTTCATCCAAGCTATGGTCAAGCCTCACTCGCGCCGTGTCGTGCTTCTGCTTCAAACGTAAAAATAGGACACAGGACGAAACAAACGGAAAAGGGCCCGCAAAAGCCAAGAAACAATGGAGTGCATTCCGAGGCGGTGTTGCAGTCGAACAAGACATATTTGATGACTCTATGAGCCTCGTCGTTCCTCCGTCGCCTTCCCCTGTTCGTCAGCCACAAGCTTGGGGACGCATGCAGATACTGTCAGACGAAGAGCAACGCACCAGAGCCACACATCGCAACTCCGGGTGGGCGGGTGTTTTCTCCAGCGACACATCACAAACAACCTCCGACTTCACCTCTTCTGACGATAACAGAGTGAGCTTCATCATTGATCCGGCTCGGAATGCGCTTGTCCTACCGGAAGTCGACATCAGTGTTGCATACCTTGTCAAGGAGGAGTCCGAGGACGACCACGGGGCGTTTGGACATGTAGTCAGTTCCGACGAGAGCCATGAGTTTTGTTCCAGATCTGAGAGAGGTAGCGCAGAATCATGGCTCGACTTGAGTTAGATAGCACATGCACCAAAAAGATCCTTACTCTTAGACTTTCAAATTATTACTTTCATCATTAATTTTAATCAGTACTTACCAGATATCCGTTGTTTTAACACGATTTTAATATTTTTGACCGCACAGGGAAGCACTTTTTAGTACTACGTTGTCTCCCCACACGACTACGGCATCGTGCTTTGCTAGACTCGAAAGGATATGACTTTTAAAACTGGCAGAACTTGTTCCCAGCTTCTTGAGGATGACGGAGAATACCGTCCAGGGTATCCGTCGGTGGGGTACGTAATGGCATGGCACAGGCATGAGTGAAATCGGTCGACGTCCCAAGATGACTGAAAAGAACAAACACAAGACGAGTCAGGACAGTCCTGGGATGGCGATGAGTTGCCGAAATAGGTAATAGAATGTCGATCCGAAATAACTGAATACACCGCGCCTCAGTCTGGCATGTTCACATTCATCATGGCTACCCTCATTGTCTCATCCTTGAATTAAAGTAGGTACGTGTAGCCAAAAATCTATAAACTAGGAACTTTATCCTATCTTTACTATTTCACAAATTATTCTGGATTGTAAAAATGCGATTCAATTATCAAGTCCCTATATTGTGCTCATTCCGACTTATTGTCACAAATATAAGCTACCTTAATATATAATACAACCTTTTCATTGATGTCGCATAGGCATTTTAGATGGAGCGAATTCATAACTTAAACTGAAGCAAATATAGAGTGCAGAGGAGTGGTAATCATGTGTACACAACCAATAAAAGCAAAGAATGTGATATTATTGCTACTGTTGCAAAAGTAATACACCAATATCTAACTCCCAGAAGTACAATATGCTCTTGGACAATATGATCCATAAGTTTGGATCTGCTTTAGCAACCTGAAAATTCAACAAACTTAGTCACAACTCAGCATTAGCTCTTTCTAACATTTACTAGTATTTATTCAACTCTATTTCTTCACCAATCTCTTCTGCATTTAGTAGGATAGCTTATCAGATGCAGACGTTTTAGAGTAGTTATAGAGACCTTATTCAGAACAGTCTGACCATGGCAAGCACAAATACAAGTCAGATTATGGCACAATTGATTAATGTATATTAGAACTGCCTTATAGAGTCATAACTACAGATCAGATGGTTTCCAAGGCAAGTGTGCAATTACCATGACCTTTTTTAGGCATAGTAAAGCAGAGTTGCAATATACAAAGTATTGATGACTGTGTCCTAAAATATAATATTGACAGCTTATACAAGTTGCAACTCTTGCTCTCACACTTCAAGCTACATACATTCTCTAGGAAGATTTTTCTCAGTGAAAGAGTTATGGGTATGTTTGATCATAACATACTATGTATAAAAATTCATATTATTTGGCTAATGTTAATTTGGAATGTTTCCTTACCAAACTTAGCACACAAAAGAAGAATGTCCTACCTTAATCAATTAGAGGAAATAACACCTGAAAATGATGACAAAATCACAGAACTAGTTAAGGAGTGTAGGTCTTACTTGTTTGCTCACTTGTATACAACCATTGATATAAATCAGATAATAAACTGTACTAAGCAGGAATTGAAGTGATAGCTTCTCTTCTTACCTACACAGGGATTTCCACCAAACACCACCCTTGGCTGGAACACAAAAATTTTGCTAGAAGTAGTGAGTTCAGATATACAGAGTGTATTGTCATACATGTTAAATCTGTTATTGACTCAAAGTCATTATAGTACACTACCAAGGCCAATCTCCAGGACCAGGACTATCTATTACTTTTGAGCTGTTTGAAGAGCAGTCAAAAGCAGAGGATTGGATTATATCTCAACTCCATTCTATATTTGAAAAATAATAATAATAATGTTGGTGAGTGAATAGTACAAATTGTAGAAATATTGGGGCAACAGAATGTTAATAGCTATTTATTATGAGATGATTAGTTCATCAACAGACAAACTACAAGACAATGACTTCATAATGTCTCAGTTAGAATACATACAATATAAGGATGAGAGACACTGAGTGGTCAATCATTACCTCACCCCTTGTCTATGTGTGCCCCCCTTAAGTTTTCCCTCTTAACAGGTTATGAGCCTTGAGCTCCCTGCATACACACATCCACTGTACACTCTAAACCCTTTACTCACATACATTTGCACACATTTGCATCATGGTTCCCCTACACACAGATATACACTGTAAACCAGCTAATGTACCTAAATACTTTAGTCAAAACATTACAATGCTTAAGACTGAAGCAAACTACAAGATGTGGCACTACTGTATTGTTTCTAGTGTTACAGCTACATACTTCAAACACTTACTAAAGGATGAACTGCAGAACAAAGCTAAGAGGGAGATGGCTAAGGCTATTCATGCATATATAGTTAATAACATTGCCAACACAATATTGGCAGACTATATACACTTTGATATGTCTATCCCTCAGTTAATGAAAGTGCTTGAAGAATGCTTTAACCCTCAGACAGTACATAAAAAGGCTATTGACAAATTGGCACTGTTTATTTGTAGAGATCATGTAAAACATTTCAGACATACATTAGACAGACTTGAGGAAGCATACACAACTCTGTCTGCTAACAGTGATCCACCATACAACTCTACATACAAAGTAGCAATATTGCTTGCCACTCCTGAGCAATATACACACATAGTAAATACAATAATACAATCTACTAATGCTCAAAACAAAGGCAAACCAGTTGATGAACATAAGAAAGTCAAACTGAAGTAACTAATCCTTGCATTGTGGAATGCCTACAACAATTACTGTACTAAACAAGCACAAGATTCCAATGATCAGACAAAGAATAATGTACACACTAATACAATGTATAAAGCTAATAAGTAGAGGAAATTCAATCTGCCAAATCTGTTCAATCCAACAAAAGCAAAATGTTTCAATTGTAGAAAAACAGGACATTTCTCTAAGGAATGCTATAAACCTCCTACTGAAGCTACAAAGCTTGCCTGTGCCAAACATCAAGCTAACATTGTGTATAAAATGAATCAAACTGTAGAAAACACAACAAACACATTTATTATTAAAAACCCAAACGAAAACAATGTTGAATTAAAGGAAGGCAACATTGAAATGAACAATAATGCTTACACTCTTATTCCAAGCAACCAGGACAAACAATTCGAACAATATGCTTCCTAGGTATGTACCAACGTATTTACAAATACAATCATAGCTAACAAGAAATCCTATATGCAAATGATGGATTTACTTGATTCTAGTGTATCAATACATACTACTCCTTATCTATTTCAATTAACAGATGTACACAACATAACTCCTACAATCATAACTATTGCAAATAGATCAACAATGACTCTTAATTGAGCTGGATCTATGTGTATCAAAATCCTGAAGAATATATGAGAAAGAAGTGTCATAACATTACAAAACATCTATTACTATCTACAAATGAACTTTTCCCTCATAAGTCAAGTGCTACTATGTAGGGAAGGTTATTCATTTATGTTTACAAATGATAATTGTACTATAACATCACTATGTAACGAATATGTCAGACATATATGATTGAGAAATAACTTGTATATTTTGTACAATAATCATTTGTTAAAAACAATGAACAAACTATCTATTTATAATATACATAAATGCCTTGGACATATAAGTTACAATTATATTAAACGATTATTAAAGACACAACCAAGTGTACTATCAACTAAAATAACAAACTATGAAGAAAAAGAATGTATTGAATGTATAAAAGCAAATATTGAATGTACACTAATACCAAAACTACATCAATCTCCTCTTGCAAATCAATTTGGAGATCTTATTCATATCGATATTATTGGTCCTATTGAACTACACACATATAAGAATATACACTACTTATTAACAATTGTAGACAATTCTACTTGTTAGTACATAATACTCAAATTACAAACAAAATCCAATACATATACACAATACATACAATGGACAACTAAAATATTTACACAGTACAGAGTTAAAATAAAGCTTTTACAAAGTGATAACAATACTGTATTCCTTAGTAAAGATTTCCAACAATATTTAGATTCACAAGGAACAAAACAAAGATTAACAGTACATCATACTCTGTAACAGAACAGAATAGCAGAACAAACTCATAAAACTATATTCAGAGGTGTAAGAGCATATCTAACATCTACTAAATTACTGTTTACATTATAGGCTGAAGCAGCAATTCATATTACCTATATTCATAATAGAACACTGTGTGCTACTTTAAATTACAATACCCTACATTACAAACGTTATGGAACCTACAGAACAATTGATAATATATACGAATTTGGTCAATATATTATCATTTGCAACAAAAATCCTACAA